CCACATTTCTGATGGGTCTTGTAGGGTTTGTTTGCTTTTTGGAGTCCCCCCCCCATTTCCAATGGGTTTCGCAGGGTTTGATTCTTTTTTGGTGTTTCTTTCCCATTTCTGATGGGTCTTGCAGGGTTTGTTTGCTTTTTGCTTTGCTTTTTTTGCATTTCCGAAGGGTCTTGCATGTTTTTTTGCCTTCTGCTTTAGTTTTTTTTTGGGGGGGGGTTGTGTTTCCGAAGAGTCTTGCACAGTTTGTATGTTTTCTGCTTTGCTTTTTTTTTGGCATTTCTGAAGGGTCTTGTGCTGTTTGTTTGCTTTGCTTTTCTTTTTTTTCCCCTTCAGCAGGCTGTTTGTTTGCTTTGCTTTTCTTTTTTCCCCCTTCAGCAGGAACGGATTAATCGCGTTTCCGATGGGTCTTGCAGTGGTGGTGAGTTTTTTTGTGTGATTTTTTTTTCTTCAGCCGGAATGGATTGAAGAGGTGTCATGTAGATGATGAAACAGGATTATTTCTGATGCTCCAGAGGGTAGGGCTCTGACCAAATTACAAGAAATGGGATTTGGATTAAACATTAGGAAGAACCTCTTGACACTTCAACAAAGGGTTCAACAAAGAAATGGACGTCACTGGAAGATGGTGGACTCTCCTTCAGTGGTTTTTAAGCAGAGGTTGGATAACCATCTGTCACAGATGCTACAGCTGTGGATTTCCTTTATTGGCAAGTTTGGAATAAATGTCTCTTAGAATTCCTTGGTACAGTTCCACGATTCTGTTCTCTATGTAAAGATGTTTATCTGTTTATCAATTGTTTTCAGTAGCTTAGCTTAATTAGTCTAAGTATGCAGACCTGCTTGTATCAATTTCTTAATAAGATAAAACTTCCCTGTGTACTTCATACATATTTATAACTGTACAGTGGTACCTCGCTAGACAGTGACCTCGTAAAATGGCGAATCCGCATGGTGATGAGGTTTTGCGATCGCTATCGTGACCTCGTAAAATGGCGAATCCGCATGGCGATGAGGTTTTGCAATCGCTATCGCGATTCACAAAACAGACATTCCAATGGGGGATTTTTGCTGGACGATGATTTGGTCCGTGCTTCGCGGACCTTTTTTCGCAAGATGACAATTTTTACAGCTGATTGCCGGCTTCGCAAAATGGCTTCCCTGTGTTTTCGGGACCCATGCTTCGCAGGACAGCCATTTTAACAGCTGATTGGTGCTCGCAAAATGGCTTCCCTATGGGCGATCTTTGCTGGACTATGATTATTTTCCCCACTGGAATGCATTAAATGGGTTTCAATGCATTCCAATGGGGAAACAGGTTTTCGCATGACAATGATTTCGCTAAACAGCAATTTCTATGGAACGGATTATCGTCATGGGGGCACCACTGTATTATCCTCAAAAAAGTACTAATGCTGGTCAATGTTCTATCCATTGCACCCTCTATCTAATCACAATTTGTCCTAGAGAGCTATTTCATTAAAAAATACCCCCAATCCATGCCATATAAACACACTCCTTGGATTGTAGCCTCTTCAGTTCTTCAGAGAAAAATAAGAATCCTAACATGAGATTACACATGGTAATGTAAGTCAAACCCATGAGTCAGAAACATTTGTCTTGTTGCAGCTGTGGGACTGACTATTTCATCCAATTCAAAAGACCACATGGAAAAGAGCAAAGTCTGCTGAATGAGCAAAAGTAGGCTCTGGTTTTAACATCTGCTCTAATTTTAGGGCCAAAGGCATCTGCAGTACTCAGTCTTTCCAATGCAAAAAATATAACACTTTGTGGTTTGTCATCTCTGAAGTAGTATCTAATTCAGAATTTAAGAATCCAGCTCATCCCTCATTTGCAAAACACTGAGGCAAAACCATCACCAGCCATAGAATATTTTGTAAGAGGAAAAAAAGGAGGAATCAGTTCTGGTTTCGGATGTAATATATACTAATATACTATTCTAGAAAAAGATTTTTTATGTTACTTGCAATCAACTCAGTACAAGTACTGTTCGGATCTTTATTTAGTAGCTGTATTCCTTTTGAAGAAAATATAGTCTTTTTTCAGTAACTGAGAAGATAAACACAAGAGACAAAATTTGAATGCCTGAAGCATGGGAAAATTCTCTATGAGAGTCACATTGCTTCACAGATTTTTCAATTTAACATTTCTCTATCTCTTTTGAAAAGAATCTGTAAGAACTCTCTTCTGCTGCTGATTATTTTGATTTCTTTCTTTATCCAAGACTTGTGGCTAGATACAGGTATGCTCTTCCATGACAGGTGGCCTAGGGGGAAAAGGAATTGGTGAAAACCATCATCCCCTCCTTTCTCCATGGGTGTGTGACATGAACTGAATTCCGCTTATGGGGAGTCTGAAACCAACTCACAGATTGCTCATTTTTATCTTTAATAAAAGTTCTGCAAAATAGGTCAGGTAATAGATTGAGATGCCTATCAGAAACACCTAGTGAATATCATGGTTGAACACTGCTTTGAACAAACTGGCATGCTGGTTGAATTAAGGCAGAATTATATGCTACTGAAAAATAAATACAGTTGCCCATTTCCAGTTGCTAGCCCCAACTACAGTATTCCCATTGATTGCTAATGGAAAGTCAACACCTCTGTAAATCCCACTGATGCAGTGAATCTATTCTACATGGAACTATCAACTAGATTTAGGGCAATGTCCATAGGTTTTATGCTTAAATCCACAGATTTAGAAGCCTATGGCTAAACATGCAACTATGTTTACATTTCCCTTCAAATGTGCCCAATGTTATGTCAGCTTCAAATTCCAAAGGGGATATTGGGGCCAATCGGTGTCAATTTTTGCCCCCTCAAAACCCATTATCTTTCAATGCAAAGACTTCTAGAGGAGTGATAACTGTCTGAATCAGAGAAGAGGAAGGGTCAAAAATCTTTTCACCCCACCTGTTATGATCCTGACAGCTGTCAACATTTCTCACCAATGCTAGTTCTTGTTGTTGTTTTTAAGTGAACATTCATGGCATAAACCTGTGATGGCATATCTGCTTCAGCTGTTAGAACAGAGGTATGCACATATTTAAAGGGACCTGTATGTACATATTTAAGGAAGAGAGCAGAATCTCCTTTTGCATATACTGGATCCTGCTTATCTATGTCCACACTTCCTAAAACCAAGAATATACCTCATGGGGTTTCAGTGGATATCTGGCACTATGTTTCAGAAATTAAGAGACAGATTGTACACATCCATTGTTCCTTACATAATCTAAATTATGTTCCCTTGGAACAGGGGTCTCAAACACGCGGCCCGGGGGCCATTTGTGGCCCGCCAGATGATAGTTTGTGGCCCCCGCCTTGCCTGCCCCCCTGAAGCACCCACACATCCTCTGCTGTCAAGAGTAAAAAACTCACCAGTTCTCTCCCAAGGCGGGCTGGCTGGCAGGCTGCAGTTCCAGATGGAGGGTGCAAGAGGCACTGTCTTGGGGGAGAGCTGGTGAGTGAGGGGTGCTGCCGGCCCTTTTCCATGAATGCACGAGCTGCCACCAAGCGATGCCTGAGAGGGGACCTCGCTCCTGTCCCATCCTCGAAGAGTGCCTCCAACAGCGCCAACAAGTGCCAACAGCATCTGCTGCCGCCTCTTCCAGGGAAGTGGCTCTCTGGCTCTCTTTCTCTCTCGGCACCCCCAGCACCTGCCTGACCAGCGGCCACCTCAGCACCCGGCGGTGCTTCCTCTTCCTCCTCCTTGTGTTCATCCTGCTTCAGCTGCCTCGGATCTGGAGGCTGGCTGGGCTCACCTTGCAAAGTTTGCTCCCCTGTCATGGTGGGGGTAGCTGCTGCTGCTGAGTGCGCCTTTTTTGAGGGGGTCTCAGAGGAAGGTTGTCCGACCTCTGCGTGTGTGTGTGTTTGTGTGCATGTGCACGCGCGCACCTGTGGGGCCCTGTTCTGTTTAATTTCGCAGGTACCGATGGGGGCCTTTCTCCTTTGACAAGGCAATTCTGTGAGGCTTTTTTAAAAAATCTGATGAGGCCCAGCCTCACCCAGACTCTGCCTCCAGTGGCCCCCAGGTAAATTGAGTTTGAGACCCCTGCCTTAGAACATTGCACTTCAGGGCAACAAAAAATATATATAATAATCAATTACAGTCTTAATGAAAAATTACAAGCTAAAGCAAAGTAAATGTTATTTATGTTCATTATGCTGGGATATCAATAGGAATAGCTGACAAGATTGTAGAGAATAGTTTTTGAAACATTGCCCAGATAAACCATACCATGTGATTTTTTTCAAACAAGAAAGTCATGAATGAAGTATCTCTTTCAGGTCTTGTAAGAAAACAGAATCAAAAATATGCAGTGAAAAAAAATATACAATCTATTTGGAACTTGGACAAACATAGTAGTGCTCATGCACGTCATTAGTAGTGTTTTTTTATTTCAATGGGGATTCGTTATTTTATTTAACTGTAATAATCTTTGAATATGTTCCTTATGCTAACGCTTGAGCAATATAAACTGATTCTATGAAATTCTATTTTTCTAAATAAAAATAATTATAAAAATTCTTACAAAAGGATTTGTCTCTTGAACAGCAGGGTCTGGCTAAATCCAGGAGGTGGAGACGGCCACAAACTAGCTATCTTTAAGAGTCCTACTTAACTAAGCTGTTGTGAGTTCTAAGGAATCACAAAGCCTATGTGTCTGTACTTGCAACGTCCTGGGTAAAAGTAAAGTGTTCTTTTAAGGTCAGACTTGTTCAAGGGGTTTATGCTACGCACTGCTGAGAACTCGGGACTTGCCTCAGCGCAAAGGTGGTAGGTAAGTGGCCTGTTGAACTCTCTGACCAAGTACTAAGCGCTCCTTAGGGAGACTGGGCACTACAGTACTCTCATTCTCCAGTGTGAAGCCTCTTTAACAAAAATAAAAACAGTAAATAAAAAGACATTTAATACTTTTAAAGGTTATACTTGTGTATCTTTTTCTAATCCCTTTTAAAATAACTTATCACACTTACCAAATTCATTGTTAAGAGTGTGATCCCTTGGAAGGATGGATTGTGAATTTCCAATATTTCCTCCTCCAACAAACCAGTTCACATTGGGGTTCCAGCGGTTCATAAAACCACACAAATGATTTTCTTCAAAATTGCATTCTACAATTGCAAAGAGAGTAAGTGAATCTCTAAGAGCACAATATATGACCTTTCATTATACAGCTCAACATCTGCTGTACTAGCTACAATCTATTAAGTGTATTGATTTTTTAAAATAATTAAATGTCAAACAATATCTTTACTCACAAAGGTATCTTTAAGATAAAAATTATTAAATAAATAAGATTTTAGTTACAAAATATATTGACAGCAAATACATATTATATATTATTAGAGATCTTTAGAATAGTGTTGCTATGGATAGTTCAGTGGTTTAGGTATCTGGCTATGGAGCCGGCATTTGGGAGTTTGATTTCCCACTATGCCTCCTTGACAGGGGCTGGAGATGGTGATGATTAGTATCAGTATTATATAATTAACTCTATTAAAAACAATAGTAAGAAAAATGTTAATTTCATACTGAATGAACTAACACTTCAGTTACAAGTAGTTTCACAATTAAGTACAAATTCCTCATTTTAAATAGAAGCCATGATTACAAAATGCTACCTACCTATACAGTATCCAGTAGTAATTTTAATTTCAAAAATTGCTATGCTGGAAGAAATATCTCTTCCCAATACACCTTCTAATACAATCTTTAAAAAAAAAGACAAAACCAGTATAATGTAAGTATTAACATTTTTAGTACAATTTGTTAAAATGCAACAAATAAGATGGTTTTCATGAGTTCTGTGTGAAAGGTTTTTGTGAATATTAGGTATTATTCCTATCAGGAACAATATCTAATGTCTCCAAACAGTAGAGACAGACCCTAAATACCTGTTCATATTCAGAGACATAGCCAATTCATTTGATAGCTCTGGACTCATAGTTTCATAAGCTTCTTACAAACTGACCCTAGTTCTACTCAATGTATTATCTGTGTAAGAGTGATGACTTCACTGGCAGGGAAGACTGCTAGTAATTAAATAGTTCCTGTTTCCATTTCAGGACCCAAACAGCTCATGTAGAGAGAGACTGATTGTAGACAAGCCTGAGAAAGAAAGCAGGAACTGTTTAATTACTGGCAATCTCCTTCTGTGGCTGATATCATCACTCTTATGTTTATGTTAGGATTTGATAACAGAATACACAGAGACACTTAGGTTTATCTTTTCAAATCTTTGTTACAACAGAAGCCCAACAGCTATATGCACACAGACTTCCTGCATATACTGTATTTTAATGCAGTTGTTCCCAACTGTGGGTGCCCAGATGTTTTTGAACTAAAATTCCCAAAAGCCTCCACTACCAGCTATGTTGGCCAGGATTTCTGTGAGTTGTAGTCCAAGAACATCTGGGAACCCAAGAATGGGAACTGCTGTTCTAATGAATCTGCATATCTTGAAGCACAGATTGCCAGTATACTACATAAGTTCCATGTTCGTTTGCAGATACCTGAAAAAGGCTACAGTTGTTCCACATGTTTCACTGTGACTTTAATGGGAAAAGAAACAAAGACAAGCAAAACATCTGAGTATGTATGCATTTGCCTGCATTTTCTTATCTACTTATCAACAGCTGACATGCTTATGTATGGATAAGTGAATTAAATCAGTGAATTAAACCAATAAAATATTAGCCATATTCATATATTTAAATATTATTGAAAGAAAGGTTGGATGAAATAATTAATGATCAGAAACCCACACAAATAACCATAGTCCTTTACAACAGTGCTCCCCAACCTTGGGCCTCCAGAAGTTCTTGGACTACAACTCCCAGAAGCCTTCACCACCACCTCTGCTGGCCAGGAGTTGAAGTCCAAGAACATCTGGAGGCCCAAGGTTGGTGACCACTGCTTTACAATACTGTATTTTAAAGCAATGCTCACCCTGTATTTGTCAGTACTGTTTCTTAGATCTAGACTTGCTATGAGCCAGCTTTCTGAGCGCTCTGTAGTTGTCCAAAGCAAATGATCAAAACTTTCTCCTTCTATTCTTAGGTACACATTTAAGGCAGTAGTAGGTAGGGATGACTCTGAAGATCTTGCAATCTGATATATAAGTCTAATGCAGCTCCATTCTTCCATATAGAGTTCAGGACTAAACAACACAGCTATGTCACCATTTGTACCCTGTGAGGTGTCCACAAAAATGTAATGACCTGGAAATACACAAACAGAATTAGATGGTTATCTGGAAAACAAAAGGTAATTAATCATTTTACACCATCCCAACAGGATTTCTCCTAGATTTTTGCTCTGCAACTCCCATCCCTCCCAGCTTTAATAGCCAGCCATAATGAGATGATGGACATTGCAATCCAAAACAACTGTGAAGGTCCACATTATGAATACATTTCTTCCAGCCCTTTTAACATATGCACAAGATTACACTCACTTAACATGATTAAGTATCACTCAGAATGGCAACACAATCATTCTGCAACAATTTTATGTTCAACAGAAAGATCTGAGAAACTTTCTCAAAATGAGCGCTCAAATATACCTTGAGACCTCAATGTATTGTCGAAGTTTTTTACTGCAATGCTATAAAAAAGCACGTTCCTCTGCAAATTCTTTCCCAGTTAAATACCCCTAACCATGCACAGCACGAGTAGGGCTCATCTTAAGAAGGAATCCAAGACAGAAGGGATCCAAGAGTCATGTAGCCTGATAAAACATGATTCATCTATAATAGTTATGTCATGTACTGTCTTCTCTTTCCAATACAGTTAAGCCCATGAGTCACTGGGGAGAATATACATCATATGTCAAAGATCAACATGCTCTTCTTGCAGAAAGCCATTGCCAGCTAGCCTAGTTAGTTTTAGACCTCCCTCTTCCTTCTAGCTCTTGTAAAGAGTGCAAAATTAACGAAAGAATCAATGAAATAATGCATCCATCCCTTACACAACAGGGAATCAACAAGACAGCATTTTGAAAACTGTTCACCAAAAATTGTTTTTTCCAGTCTAATTATTCTCAGCATTAATTTTGGAATATACACTTTGCCAGAATAGAATTCACCACACAGCTGGAGGAGAACTTTCACAGGTACAAACCACATTTTGTGCTCATCTTGTGAAGCATCACAGTATAGGAATATTTTCAATTGTTCCCACATGGAGGACTCCACAGATTTTGTGGAATACAATTTCAAGTACGTTTGCCACTCTAGTCTATAGGCTATATAAACTCAACTGAAATGAACGGGATTTAATGTATTTAGGTGTAGGTTGCTAAGTGTGTTGGGACTGAAGGCTGAGATTAAATTGGAACCTAAAGGCTGGAAAAAGTAAATAGCAAAGATATTTTTAACATGCCTAAGCAGACATTTAAAAGAACACTGTAATTGCTTAATGCCTACCAAAACAAAAAACATAAACCCTCAGTTAACGTTCAATTTAAAACATAATAAGCATTCTAAAATAGTCTTCTATCCAAGGTCAACATATGATTATCAAAATAGGATATACTTCAAAGCCCATATTGCAATTGTAGGTTAGAATTAGGCCTATTTTTGTCTCAGATATCTGAAAAAGCTTCCTTTTCAGTGCAACCTCTGACATTCCACTACTTTAGTATCTTCACAACAGCTCCAGAAGCTGAATAATATCTAAGTAGAGCCTCAAATATAGCTGACTGGATAGCTCAGTGGTTTAAGTATCTAGCTGCAGAGCCAGGGGTTGGAAGTTCAATTCCCAACTGTGCCTCCTGGGAGAAAGGTTTCCCTGTGCAATCATGGGCAAGCTGTACAGTTGCAGATAATCCCCAGAAGAAGGGAATGGTAAGTCACTTCTGAGTACACCCTACCTAGAAAATCCTGGAAAATGTCACCACAAGTCAGAACTAACACTATTGTTGTTGTTGTTGTTGTTGTTGTTGTTGTTGTTGTTGTTGTTGTTGTTGTTGTTGTTGTTGTTGTTGTTGACCTCAAATAACCAAGTGTAGGATCTAAATTAGTCATGGAAACAACTTCATCCTCCATAGGTTTCTGGATTACAATTCCCACTATTCCTCTCTGTCAGATATTCTAATTATGTTGGAGCTAAGAGTTTCATTTCAAGAACTTCTGGTGGAGGACCATTCCTCATTTAGATGTTTTCTTCATAATAAACAGCTTAGTGTTTCCCCCTTCTCATGCACAGTCATTTCTTTCAAAATATTAATGCCACTTCAGATTTTCTTTCTTCTCAACATGCAGTATATACTGATTCCAAACAAAATACCACATTAATTGGGACCAAGATTTAATATTTTGCTCCTAAAAAAGGGTAACTACATTTGAATAGGCCTATAAGTACAGTATTACAGTTAACTCCTTCTTAAGAACAATTCTATTGTTATCTTCTGGACCAAAGGAGTTACAGCATATAAAGTGGCAGAAACTTTATTTATCTCATTTAAAACTTACGGGTTACTCCATTGCTCCAGAAATCATGGATTCATTGACACAACATTTCAGGTTCATTGGCCAAAAATGTGTTGTGCAATTATGCAAAAGGTATAACTTTCAGGGGCAAACTGCCATAAATTAAGAAATCTCCACAGATATTATCGGTTGAACACTGAGTCACGTAACGGCAGGTTCATACAATTATGAAATACATTTCTGTTGCATTTTAGAATAAGAAGTAAATGTATGTAATATTGTCAAAATAATCCACAATGCTACCAAAACAGTAGATCTGTTATTAAATTTATTCCAATTAAAATGAATTACAAAATAGGTAGCACAACAGGGATCTTCCATTCTGAGGCTGATAGCAATTAAATAATAATTATGTTCCATCCAGTGATTCTAACTTACGGTGACACTTTCCAGGATTTTCTTGGATAGAGAGTACTCAGAAATGGTTTACCATTCCCTTCCTCTGTGGACACCCTGGGACTGTGCAGTTTGGCCAAGGCTACATAGGCTGTCTCTTCTCTCAGGAGGCACTGTGGAGAACCAAACTCCCAACCTCTGAGTCTGCAGTCAGTTATCCATCTCAATGAACTATTTGGGATATATTTTCATCAGGAAGAATCACATAAACAATTAACATAACATAGTTTGACCCCAACTTGGCTCTCGATTGGAATAAGGGTTCATTTATACATGACAATTGGAGTGGGCTGGATCAGGCTAAACGGGGGTCACTAAGAGGTCTGATATACCATTTGGTGCAATCCTCATATCCAGATGGCATGCAGAGTTCAAGCAACCCTATTCGGTCCATAGCAGCTTGCTCTTAATTTGTCAATATTGTGAAGTGGCTTAAGACAGACAAGATGTACTGGCAAATTAATAGCTTCATCAGTTTAATGGAAGATCCAAGGAAGTAGAGCAAATGTTTAGCGTGTGTATTGGGCAGCATATATGCACTGTGTGTCTTAAAAAAAAAACACCAAAGATTTTATAAAGCTAGATATTATAGTTTCGTCATAAATAAATGTGACATTCTGTTCAGAGCCAATATATTACATTCTGGTTCTGAATACTGTACAATGGCACATTTAATTAGGACCAATTTATAATTTCTAGCTTCAAAACCAGATCCATAAAACAGCCAAAACATTTGTTCCATATAGATCAGGAATCCCCAACCCCTGCCCCGTGACCCAGCAGCAGTCCGCAGACTGGGAAGGACCAGGCCGCGGACATAGATCTCCTGCCCCCCTGTGAGCGCTCCCCTCACAAGCACAACCCGCACATGCACTGTGCGCGCAACACCCACCACGCATGTGCATGAGCACGACACGCCCCCCTGTGAGCACAACACACACACACCCGTGAGTGCAACACATACCCCACGAGTGTGACACAACCCGCATATGAGCATGCCGCAGCCCCCCAACTGGTCTGTGGTTGGGAAAAGGTTGGGGACCACTAATATAGATCATAAACAGATGTCAGAGTCAAATACATTTACTGTACTAAATGTTACTAAACTAACAGCACAATCATAGGCAACAAATAAGCAAAGCAACTTTAGAACAGTTTTACAACTGGGCAGGTATATACCCACATATGCCACTGTGACTTTTTTGCCAGGTGAATTGCATAAAAAATAATTGATTATTTTAAAATCCTTTTTAATGTTTCCTTACAGACCACATTTTACAACATATCACAGGTATTAAAGGCTGCAATCACAAAGTTTGTTTGAATTTTGCCCTTTGTTTCTTAATTGGCTTGTAATATAATTACCAGTTTTTTCCTCCAAAGACTTCGAACAGGCCAGAAATAAGCAATAGTGCCTGTGATATTCTTTCATTGCTTTTTATTTTGGGTAACAGGCAATGTTGCACGTCTGCCTTCTGGTGGCATAGTTGTATCCTAAGCAAAGTCATGAATAAAACAAATTCATGACTTGAATACACTAATATTTTATGTACATGGAAACAAAAACCAAGGCAACATTGTAGATCCAAAATAACAATGTCAAATCAAAGTCTTGTGATTTTCCAGCTGGATGGATTGTAGTACTACTAATACACTGCCCATGTATTCTGTCTTTCCCTCTGCAACAGACTTTGACCAAAACTCAGCAGTAAGTTGTAACGAGAATAAGTCTATTGAATTAGTGCAGATTTGATGAGTCAACTCCTCTGTAAGTTTCATTGGTTCAATGGGCCTATTCTAGTTGTGATTTACTACTGAATTTCAGCCTTTGTGTAGTAATTAAAAACCACACAAAGTGGGGAAGGTGATGCAAAAACACAAGGACATTACAATTGCAAAATAAAAAAAGAAGTCTAGAACTTCTGTTAACATTCCATGAATGAGGCAGGGCAACTGCATAATAAAAGCCTCATCTGAAGCACCCCAAGAGTTCAGGATTACGGAAACAGGTTCTGATAAGTACTGCTTGTTAGAACTGAGCATCAAAGACTATATGTTGAGCCCACAAAAGACTGCCACAGTGTTCTTCACACATTTAATAGCACACTGTAAGTAGATTTCAAAAAGTGTTTGAGTTAACTCGAACTTCTGAGACATAATAAACGTTATGAAAAATACTGCCTTAGGGACAAATATCCGAATTCTAGTTGCAGAACAAATATGTTTTTTTTAAAAATTAACTATCTTTGCCATTTTAAAATCCAAAAGTCAGTGAACCATGAAATGTATATCAGCATGATGATAAAATTTTAATTATATTATATAATTATAATA